TGTTTTACATATTAATGATATGGTCAATCTTAATTTTGTTTTATATTTTCTTCTTTCAGTGGATGTGAGGCATGTTCCCTGGATCAGTGATCTGAAGTGACTTCAACCAGCTGCTGACTGTATTTGAGTGTGTTAAGGCATTAGTTTGCTTCATTAAAGGGTGTTAATGAATAAGTGTTCTCCAGTGCCTTTTGTCCGCTTTAAGGTATTATTAAGGTAGGTTTAATTTTGCTCTCAAAGTGCACCAGATTGATGCTTTTAACTTCAATATTTAAAAAAAAAAATCTTCCCGGGGGAGCATGCCCCCGGAACCCCCTAGAGGAGGCGACGACCCCCCTAAAGGATGTTCGGTCCGCTCCCCACTTGTAAAAAATAGCACTTGCAGATGATTACCCCTGCACCAACCCCCCCACTCAACAACTCCTGGGCTAAGCCCCGGATCTCCTACAATCCTAAACAAGAAATATGTGCAGTAAGCAGTATGAACATTGTGTGCATTAATGTAATGCATATAGGACTAGGTTGTTCTAAAATGGACTAAAATGTTCATTAATGTGCACTGTCCCGGTTCAAATAAACAATTAAAATTAAAATAAAAAAAACCACATGGGGATGTTGGGTGTGGGTTCTCCTGAAGTAGACAACAATCTCCTTTTCCCCCCACATTGAGCAGTCGTGGGACAGCAGAATGAAGCAAGGGGCTGAGCACACATCCCTGGGGAGGCCCCCGTACTCACCGTGATGGTGTCCGATGTGTTGTTGCCGACCCATACAGATTGCAGTCTGGCCGGTAGGAAGTCCAGCAGCCAGTTGCAGAGAAAGGTGCTGAGGCCCAGGTTTGTTAGTTTGCAAACCAGCTGCTGGGGGATGATTGTGTTGAATGCTAAGCTAAAGCAACATCCTGACAAATTAGTTATTTGTGTCCAAGTGGGTGAGTGCTGGGTGGAGAGCAGAGGAGATTGCATACTCAGTGGGCCGCTTAGCTCGATATGCAAACTGAAATGGGTCCAGGGAGTGTGGACTAGCCTCTCGTAGTACTGATGGTGGAAGTCAGCACTACAGGGCGGTAGTCATTGAAGCAGGATGGAGACGAGTTCTTTGGCAAAGGTATGATGGTGGTTTCTTTGAAGCACGAGGGACTAACAGCCTGGCTCAGGGAGATGTTGAATATGTCTGTGAGGACATCTGTGAGCTCAGCTGCGCAGTCTTTTAGCCCACGACCAGGAATGTTGTCAGGTCCAGAAGCTTTTTCCGGGTGTTAATCCTTAACAGTGTGCTTCTCATACTGCCTGTGGACAGACAAATAGCCTAGTCGTTGGGAGGAGGAGTGGTTTTCTGCACAGGTGTGTTTTTCCGTGCTTAAAAGCGTGCAAAGACGCCGTTGAGGTTGTTCAGCAGAGAGGTGTCACTGTCACAGGTCTGTGGTAGTGGTTTGTAATCCGTTATTGTCCTAATACTATGCCACAGGCTCAGTGTGTCTCTGCTGTCACTGAAGTGAGCTGTAATCCTCCAGGTGTACTGCTGCTTGGCTTTACGGATGCCACAGGAAAGATTGGCCCTGGCTGCTCTGAGACCAGCTGGAGATGTAGCCTGTAATTGTCTCTGTGTATCCCTAAGGTTTCTTCAATTTTCCCCCCATGAACTGTGGGGTTTCTTTGGAAGTTTTTCCTTGTCCAATGTTAGGGTCCAAAGACAGAACATGTCACATTCGTATTCATATTCTTTACAAACTGTAAAGTCCAATGAGACAAATGTAACATTTGTGATATTGGGCTTTCAACATTGGGCTGGGTTTTTTCTGTAATTTCATAATCTACTGTACTCTTGCTATTTTTTTTCAAAATGACCAACCCTTAACCTGTTAAGCCCTGAGCCTGTTTTTCAGGTCTCAGGCTCGAAAATGACATGCCCAAAACAAATGACTACAACTTAACTTCTAAAAGGGTTATATGAATAATTTCTTTTATCAAAGCAAGGTTACATCTGTGAGTTGGATGTAGAAGTGTCAGAATCAATATAAATGTTTTTTATTTTAAAGAAAATTCAGATTTTACATAGTAAAAAACTGTAAATTATAGTGTCCGTCCAAAAATAATTTTTTACAGATAGTGAAAACTACCCTTGGATGATGGGTTAGTAGACTAAAAGCTTTAGGAATCCAAAGTACAACATATAATAAGTACCCTGTATCAAGATTGATGCAAAACAAGTGAAATGTGACCTTTTTAGGGAGATTTAGCCAAAAACCCCCACTTCTGGGGTCATTTGGGTGGATTTGACCTATCTCTGGCCCCCCTTGCTCGATTTGGATCGTTGACACACCTTTCTGACCGTTAGAGCCAATAGAATCGAAGGGGGAGGCCCACACACACACTCATTGTAAAGAGAAAAGGTGGGGGCTGCGCGTCTAGAAATGAAACTAGATTTGCAGATTTTCTCCTTCTGGAGTTTGGAAACTAAAAAGCAGTTTTATTGCTTATGGATTATCAGAAATAATTTCAAAGAAGGCACAGATACATAGGATGAACCTATGGATTAACTGCAGTATCGTTTTTTTATCGTTTGAATGCCATTGAAGACCAGTTTTGACCAAGGTAAGCCATGTTAGCGTTTCTAGCTACTTAGCTCCACATGTTATGATGTACGCTTTCGTTTATAGCGTCGCAAATGTTTATCACTGAGTGTTGAGGAGGGCACCACTAGATTCAGTGTCTCCAGGACACCAAAAATGAGTGGTTGGTTGTGCATCTAGGATAAGTAATAAGGGAGTTATGAGTGAGTTTAAGTGCCGTTTTAGGTTACATTTTTTCGCTCGTGGATAATTCAGAGGCTGAGTGCTAGCATTGTGGGTTTTTAAAAAAAAATAAAATTAAAAAGATCAGTTAGCTGAGTTTCTTCCCGTTACATGGATAACACATTCATAGTTTTATTCAATATTAAGATTCCTTAGACGTTGTTTCCTGCAAATGACGCGTTTATCCGCCCGGTATGATGGGGCTTTTCATACTATAAAGCAGCTGTGTGCAGCAGGTACTGTAAGAATCACACACAATTATTAATTAGTGCAGACTTATTAACTGACTATACTGCTTTGCCAATTCAGGCTGGAGAGTGTTAATTGACAGTGCAAAAGGTTAAACAATGGGACACAACATAAAATACATCCAGCAGTATAAGCATAAAACTGATGCACAATATCAGTTTCCCAACCTCTTACCATATAAAGAATACCATAGCTAATTTCATTTGGACATGTAAGTCAATCATAAATGGCCTGTCAACAACTGATGGACTTTTAAAAGCATTGTAATTTTTACACCTTTTATAAAATGCTATAACTTAAGACAAAATTAAAATCTTCTTAACAGAAAAATTAAACACTGCTGGTCTTCATCATCAACAAACAATCCATCAAACCTTATCCAATTTAGCCCGCAAGAAGTAAATGGCACTAAGGTTATCGTTTATCTATTGTAACGCACACTGAAGACAAATATAACCCTACATTAATAATTCCAAAAAATCTTTATAGCACAATTATTTAGAGAGTATATAGTTGCAAAGATTAATTCAATGAAAAGCATTTTAGACATCTGGTGAGCCATTGTTGTGATGGTTTATTTTTGCAATCATTTGATCTTATAATAGAATGATGATAAAATGGCACTTTAAGTTGCAGAGTACTGGGTTGTAATGTTGACTGGGCTAGCATGCGTTGGAGGCCCATTAGACATACACAGTACATTAGTGCCAAGCAGTTTCACACAACATAGGAGCTGTTTGAAAAAGGAAAGTGGCTTTGAGCGGTTGCTGCCAAGAGCTACATTAAGTCTGTGTATGGAGTCTCCTGAGACTCATAATAAAAGCTAGAGACTGTGCTTACTCTAAAAGCCCGATTATAATAATAATGTTTTGCAGTTGTAACTTCAAAACAACAAAATATAAACACAAAGATGACAGCACCACTGATTACCTGCCAAAGGCCTTGAGAATATTCTACAACAGCCAATGTACAAGCGGTTTATTTGAACCAATGACTGCATATAAATATGGGTCATCTGCGGAGTGTGTCTGTCTGTAAGCTTCAGGTACGGTTCTTCAAAATAACAGCTTTCGAAATCGGCCTGAGAACCTTCAGGTGAACCTTTCAATCTTCACCTGAGGATTGAAACCAGATAACACCAGAAAGAAGGACACTACTATTAGTGTCCTTCTTTCTGGTGTTATCTGAAGGAGATCAACTTTAATTTTATTTGCCACAGAGTTGACATGATTTTCATGAATTACAATCATCCTCATACTCTACTTCTGAAACAAGAAAAGCACACAATACTCCCTTTGTTTTAATTGGTTTCATCCACACTTATAAGCTGCATCTTATTGTTCCAGTAATTTAATATCTGTGCCACTGATTTTATCTTAAAATATCAGTTCTTGAAAGGAAACTGCATAAAGAAATGGAAAACTAATTTGTTTTGCCAAAGCAAATTGAGCGGACTACTTTCTGCAGATTGATTTGACTGCACATGGTTCCTCATCACTATCAAAGTGTCCTAAGCAATGGTCTGCTATCCCTATCAGCGGTCTGCTGTTGAGAAAGAGCAGACTGCTGAATGTCCATATTGACCTATAAGAATCGAGTATTCAACTAAGCAGAGTAAAAATAATTAACCGTGCTTGCTGTCTATTATTAATCTTTCTAAATTAGAGATAATCCTTATCTTTAGACTACAGAACACACAGAACCATGTTTCTAACCTCCGTCTTGCACCCAAACCGAAACCTAGCCTTCCCTTTTTCTACTGAAAAATGGTACCTTATTCATATTGAAACTGCTCTGCTCTTGCTTAATGATAGCAACTACCTTTAAGTTGCTGTAAAGCCTCACAGAGGATTGCATTTAGCACAGCAAAATACACATATGATACAGGAAACAGTATGGCTACAGATAATTACGTTTAAATGTACATGAGTGTGTACCACCCTGTATGTGTATGTACCTCATTGCTCCATTGTGGGTTGACTGTGTTGCAGACCACTCCAGAGCGTTTCTCCTGGCCATGGTGTGGCAGCAAGGGGAAGATGCTGTGCTTTCCAGGCTGGATAGAAAGTTTCAGGTAGGGGTCAGGATTGAAAAACATCCCCTTCTTCAAGCCAACTGCCTGGAGGTCTGGAAAGGGTAAACAGGACAGCAAAGGTAATTGTTATGGAATGGTTTTCTTTCAGTTTTTTTACCAGTGATTTTCTAACTAAATTAATTAATAAACGATGTATTATTTTCTGTATTATAAAGTTTTTCCATCTAGTTTGGAGAGAGTTTTGAAAGAACAAATAAGTTAGTCATATGATAATGCTTTAAAACACAGGTCTGTTACATTTGAACAATTTCATAGACTCAAGTACAGTAACTGTCCATTTTTGGCAACAACCAAGGCATCTAGATGTTGAGCATGCCAAACTTCAATCATTTTCATTCACAGGAAATAAAAATGAGTTTTCAGTTACACTTGAATCCAGCTAATTTATTCTGCTCAGGGCTGGTGGATTTCCTAGTGGAAATAAGTCAAGCAAAAACACTTTTATGAGTGAAAGTGATTACAAAAGCACCACAAGCATATTGCTGCCAAATGGATCTTTAAGCATTTTTGCGAGTATAGGTGTGTGCAAAGGGTAGATGTAATTGCTTGTCAAGGTTGGTTTGCCCTCAGTGATTTGGTCTGAACACCCACTTGAGATGTGTTTGTTATAAACCTATTGGCTAATTCTAAATGTCTAGATTCCATTAAATATCTGCCTTGTGCCTCTATGTGCTATGTTAAGCGTTCCTTATTGAGCACACAGGCAATGCCATTTTGCAAAAAAATATATTGTTACATTGACAAACAATAATGAAAAGGAGATTTATATGTAAGCAAAAAAAATGAATCCAATGCTACCAACCTTGTAGTAATGGAGGTTTAATAACAGTCCAAAGTAATTCAAGGGAAAAACTGGTATGGCCACAGGGGTCCCTTGACCTCTCTTCTGAATAAGATATCCCAATAACAATTGGTTTTATGAGTATCAATGAGTCTACCCCAGACACTTGCTTATGCCAATAAAATGCAATTTGGTAAAAAGCCTGCAGTTTTTTTTAATGCACAATACATATTTTATGCACTGGGATATTTTATATAGAATTGAAATTGCCTATATACTGTAAGAGATAGTTGAGAGTGGATTAAATGAGCCCATCCAATCTCAATTAGTAAAAAAAAAGGTTTCATTTAGCACTAAATCTGTGTAAGAAGTGTGAACCTTACATTTGCTGCCACATTAAGCTTTCCTATATCAAAGTAATCTTGTGATGTATATATGTGCATGTACATCCAAACAGGAGCAGCTAAAAGCAAATTCACAGTACTTTATTGATGTCAGTTTGCCAAAATATAGTATAGGCAAAATTATGAGTTGTGAGTGTGATTAACCGCAGGGAGTGCTGTCAAAGCGCTGTGCGGGTGCAGGGACATTATGGCCGGCGGGGTGTTGTCAGAAAACACACCTCGCCTAGTGTAATAGCTCCGATTGATGCATTTCACCGTCTGTGTGAAGACGGCATTATGACGTCTTCACCCCCCCGAGAGCGGGCCGCGGTGTGTTCAAAGAAACAGGCTGTGTCTGTTGTGCCCTTTCAGGAAGCAGAAAAGGGGCTTACTCCATGTACTTCCTGGTTCGAAGAGCCAAGAAGACAGGAGAATTCAGACCCATTCTGGATCTTCGCAGCCTGAATCAGCACATTGCCTGCAAAGAGTTCCATATGTAAACCAATTACTGGAACTAGGGCAGCCGGGCGATTGGTTCACAACCATCGACCTGAAGGACGCTTACTTTCATGTTGAAAATTGCTTCAAGCACAGAAAGTATTTGCGTTTTGCCTTCCAGGGGGTAGCCTACGAGTACAACATACTACCGTTTGGCTACTCCCTATCCCCACGCACAAAAATTCAGCCAAGTACCCCCTGATCAGCGCAAAAACTATTTTTTTTTTTTTGTGATCAAATGTTTTATTTATAAAAGAAATGGTACAATCAATAACATAAAATGCAATACATTACAAAAACAGCACAAAACTAAAGAAAGAAACAAAACCCAGTGACGTGACGTCCCTCCCCACCCACCCATCCAGATCACCATCCCCATTAGATAGTTATCCTAATATGCCCTTGAGGTTCACAATGAGCGAAGTCCACATCTCTATTGTTGACTCCTTTGCCCCATGTACCCGGGCTGTCGATATTTCTAGATACGATATGTCTAGATATGTTAGAACCCAGACCTTACGTGATAGGGAATGGGGAGGCTTCCACCGAGTCGCAACCAATTTTTTTGCTGCTGTAAGCCCGGCTAATAGTGCTCGCCTTTTGGTCAGGGTTAAACCCAGGTTGGACAGGTCGTTTAAGATAAGTGTGACAGGTGAATGAGGCATGTTAGTCTCAAATATCGCCGAAAGGTTAGAGGCAACCATCTCCCAGAATCTGGCCACTGGCGGACATTCCCAGAACATATGTAAATAAGTACCAATAGCCTCTACGTCACATAGAGTGCAATTTGGATCAGCTATTATTTTCATTAAACAAAGCTTCCTAGGCGTAAGGTAAACTCTATGAGTAAAATTATAATGTATGTGCTGGTGGTCAGGATTCCTAGAAGCTATTAGTATATTGGACCAGACTTCATCCCAATCAAACTCTGGATCCAGATCTGGGATATCGGCCCTCCATATCACATCTAACGCCAGAGGTCTATAAGCGTGTTGTGAAATGAACCAGTAAAGTTTGGAAACAAGGCCACTTGTACCTCTAGTAGAGTGTAGAATGTTATGAAGCGGGTGTGGTGATAGAGGACTTTGCAATGGAATACCGCTAGCCCTTAAAGCCGACCTCAACTGTAAATAAAAGAAAAAGGAGGAACGAGGTAAATCAAATTCTGTACACAGCTCCCGAAACGAACGCAGACCTTCATCTCCATAGACGTTCCCCAGTATATGAACCCCTCTCACTTTCCACTGAGGAAACTGAATGGGATGGCCACCAATCAACAATCTGGCATTGTTAAATAATGGGGAACATGGATTCCATGCATAGGGGCAGCCACATAGTTTCTCTACCGCCCTCCAGACAGACAGCAATTGTGATACAATGGGGCCGAACCTGCAACGACACTGCGCAATAGGAATGTTCGAATACAAGAGATCTTGAAGGGTGTAAGGATGCACTAGACTCTCTTCCAGGGCCCGCCATGACACTGATTCCTCAGACTGGAGCCAGGTTAATAAGGGTCTAAGCGTGAAGGCCCAATAATAGTGTTTAAAATTTGGGAGAGACAAACCCCCGGCCTGTCTGTCCCGCTGCATTGTAGAGAGCTTGATGCGAGGGCGTTTGCCTTGCCATAAAAATTTCGTCACAGCTGTCTGTAGCTTGCTCCAGTACTGAGTTGGTGGAGGAAGAGGTAGCATTGAACTAAAAAAATGAACTCTGGGTAGAATGTTCATCTTGATTATTGATACACGGCTGCGAAGTGAATTAGGCAGAGAAGACCATCTATCCAAATCAGAAATTATTTTATGAAGCGTGTTACCATAGTTATGTTTAACTATTGTCTGAATCGAGGGAAAAACGTCTATCCCCAGGTATGTAAAAGTTTTGACAACTGGGATAGATGGAGGGACAGGTGCATTGATCATTGCCTGGTTAAGTGGCATCAAAGCAGATTTCTGCCAATTTATCTTAAACCCAGAAAGCTGACCATATCGATCGACAATAGACAGTATTCTTGGGATACATTGTACAGCATTGCCCAAATACAATAGCACATCATCAGCATATAACGAAAGATGATGATTAATGGAGATTGGGGATAACGTGGGTGACTGACGAATGGTCTGTGCCAGCGGCTCAAGTGACAGCGCAAATAGCAAGGGGCTTAGCGGACAGCCTTGCCTTGATCCTCTCGAGATAGCAAAAGATGGGGAGCATACCTTGCCTGTAAGCACCATAGCTGTTGGGTTTTTATATAGCACCTTGACCATGTCAATAAAAGGGGCGCCAAAGCCCATTGCCCCGAGTACCGACCACAAAAAGGGCCATTCTAGACGGTCGAAGGCCTTCATCGCATCAAGTGAGAGAACTGCAGCTGGGGAAGGTAGATGTTGGGCCCCATCTATGATGTGTAATAGCCTCCTTACATTGTCAGCGGCTAGCCTGGATTTTATAAAGCCTGTTTGATCGCTATGTACTAGATCCGTCATGTGAGACTGAAGGCGCCTAGCCAGCACTTTGGCATAGATCTTTACGTCAGTGTTTAAGAGTGAGAGGGGCCTGTAACTAGTACACTCTGTCGGATCCTTGCCTTTTTTAAGAAGCAAGGATAACAGGGCAGTGTTGACGTCTCTCAAAAATGAACCCTCCTTAATAGAAAATAATATCATCTCTACAAGCAAGGGGCCGAGCAAGGGCCAAAAGGTGAGATAGAATTCGGGTGGAATACCATCTGGGCCTGGCGACCTGCCCTTACGCATGTCCATTACTGCTTTCTCAATTTCGTGGTGTGTGATGGGGGCATTCAGATTTTCAGAGTCGCTGACAGAAAGAGACTCCATTTGGATATTATTTAAAAAATCATCGCATACAGATTGGACAAAGCCACTCTCCGAACTGTACAGATCCTTGTAGAAAGAAACAAAGGTGGTGTTCACGCTCTTGGGATCGGTTAGAACAGTGCCATCTATAGATTTAACACTGAAAATATCAGCAAAATGTTCATTGGTCCGAAGCCTCAAGGCCAGCAGGTGGCTAGGTCTGGCGGAGTGGAAGTAATAAGTCTGTCTGGTTCTGTGAATAAGAAATTCTGAACGGCGTCTGAGGAGAGAATTAATTTATTTTTTGATCAGGTCTTTTTGGAGTGCAACAGAATCGCTGTAATGGTGTTGTAAGTTAGCATCGAGAGCAGCATACTTTAGTTCTAATGCTTCCAATTTAGCTGCACGTTCCTTGTTTCGGGTGGATGCGTACAGAGTGGTGTTGCTTCTAATAAAGCCCTTCGTTGCCTCCCACAAAATTCTCGGGTCAGACACTGACCCCTTGTTGAACCCCAAAAACTCGCGGAGGTTAGTCTCAAACTGAGACTTGTATG